ACTAGTATTTGGGATTTGGGATTTGGGATTTCGGCAAAAAATACTAATCATAATTTGGGATTTGGAATTTGGAATTTCGGCATTTGGGATTTCGGCATTTGGATTTTGAATTTGGGTGGCAGGTATAATAATATAATAAATAAAATAGAATAAAAGAAATAAAATAAAATAGAAATGAAATGATTAATACATGGAATTACCACATTATAAATCTAAAGTTAATCTCATATGCTATCATTTATTATCAGAATAAAAAGATAAAAGTAAAAAGAAATAAATTAGTAAAATAAAATAAAATAAGGTAAGTGTAAACTATGCAAAATATGTAAGGAATGTGACAACAAAAACTGTTACACTATTGATTTGTTGAATTTTCTGTATGTTTGGAGTTCTTATCATGTTGAAAAATTATATTTTTGACAATAAAACCTTAAACTTTGATAGTATTCATAAGGTTTTCTTACAATATTTACTGACATAATTCAGCATTCATTATTCTATCAATTTTACAATAACTACCAACACCATATAACAAAAAACATTTCCATATCATTACAGATTCACCTCCAAATTTCAAGTAGATTTAATATGGAATTGATTTAATGGCTCTGTGAGACATTTCCAATAATATTGTTTACTATCTAATCCAAAAACTTTGAATTTTGATTCATCAGATCATATAACCTTTGACCAATTGTCAATTATTCAATTTTCATATTTTCATGCAAAATTTAATTAACATTTTGATGTTCTTTACTCAAATAGGATTTTTTCTTTTAACTCTTGATACCAATCCATCATTTTGAAGTATACGTTAAATAGTAGGTGCTGAAATATTTATATTTTCTTTTTCTTGTAAGTGGTTGTAAACTTCAACAACAGTTGAACATCTGTGGAAGATAATAAGGTCTTAATTTTTTTTGTATTAGTTGAATAGTGATAGGTGGACAACCAAATTTAGGCAAGTTCTCAACAAAGTGGTTTTCAAGCCATCTTTTTTTAATACGAGATACTGTAGAGAGATTTATATGTTGACTTTTTGCTATTTCCCTTGTTGTGCATCTTTTTTGTAATGAAAGAAGAATTTTGATTATTTCCTCAGGAGTCATATGACACTTTTTAACTAAAACTTGTTTATTAAGTAATTTTATCATTGCACTATAACAAAATAAACAAAAAAAATCCTTTTTATTTGATATTTATGTAGCACAATAATTATCATCTGGTTTTTTGCCAAAGCAATCAAAAGTAATACAACACATGTTTTGTATTACTTGAATATTATTGTTATATCAGTTTTAAAATAATTGGTCAAGTTTCTCTAGTAAAATCAATAATATCTATAATTATTAAAACAATAAAAAGAAAAAGAGATCTCCAAAACTTCATGAAATATTTCAATTTTTATAAATAATTTTTTTTGTTGCATTACATATGATCACCACTGTATTTACTTGCGTTAACGTGATCTAACTATATAAGATGGACAATATTCTTTAGATAAATTTTTTATTAAAAAATAATATTTATTAGTACATTATTATAATATATGAAAAACGAACATAAAATTGGTAAAAAATTTGTTTTTAGACTTATTCATCTAAAAATGAATTCTTTCTCGTATTGCAGATACTCTTGTATGTTTTACAATAACTTATTTGAAATTATTTATGTTAATAAGTTACACAAAACACATTTATTGTTAAATTACTCTCAATGAAAATTTAAATTTCTGGAAATCTGCAATTCTTAAATTTCTTCAAGAATTTGTAATGTTTCTGTGTCTTCTGGTTCAAGTTCTAAAGCTCTACTTAAATCTACGATAGATTCTTCATATTTTCTCATTTCTTTATAAGCTTCTCCCCTATTTATCAATGCACCTACATTATAGGGTGCAATTTCTATAGTAATTTACAATAGATTCTTCATATTTACCCATTCTTTTATAAGCTTCTCCCTTAAGTATCGACGCGTCTACATAATCAGGTTCATTTTCTATAGCTTTACTATAATCTGAAATAGATTCTTCATATTTTTCTATTATGCCATAAGCTTCTACCTACTTTTCAATGCATCTACATTATCAGGTTCAATTTCTACAATAATCTGAAATATAATTTTCATATTTACACATTCTTTTATAAAAATCTCCCTCACTTATCAATGCATATACATTATTTGGTTCAATTTCTATAAAATAGATTCTTCATATTCACACATTCTTTTATAAGCTAACAAATGCATCTATATTATTAGGTTCAATTTCTAACGCTCTACTTAAATCTGCAATAGATTCTTCATATTCTTCTATCATGCCATAAGCTTCTCCCCCACTTATCAATGCATTTACATTATTAGGTTCAATTTCTATAGCTCTACTATAATCTGGAATAGATTCTTCATATTCACCCATTCTTTCCCCTACTAATATATAAACCCACTTTTTGATAAAATTTTCCTCGAAATATTAATGCATCTTATTACCTTTATCGTTTCTGTTAATTTTCAATAGTTTATTCAAAACAGTAAAAAACCCTTCTTCAACTGTTAAATGGCATATTAAAATAATGCCAAACTTTACTTTTCTTAATTGCAAGGGAAATTGTACTAGATTGTAATAAACTATTTTCATTCACAGATAATTTATGACTTGGAATTTGTAGCGATTGTCTTTTCACTTGACTTAAATTAGTACACACGTCAATTCTATGTCTATGAGACAAATGATACTTTAATGAAGAAGGTGAACCATGATATGAAAATTCAATTTTACATTCATGACATTTTGTTTTGCGACTTTTGGTGGACCATATGGCTTAGTAAAATAATCCCAAACTTTACTTTTTGTATGTACATTAGAAGATGTACTGGATTCAATTTCAATTTCTTGTTCATGAATAATGGAGGAAGTAGTTGCTATACCGTGTTCATGAATAGGAGATGATGCAGTTATTATATCTTGTTCATTATGAAAAGTGTAGTCTATCGAGTCCATTGGAGAGATTAAATAATTTATACTGCTTTTTTTTATAAATATGATGAATCAAAATTGTATTAAAGTGAGGTGCATATTATAATGCAAATACTTATATTTGTGATCAATTTCCTAAATTCGTTTAAATATTGGTAATACTTGATTTTCAAATATATAGATTAATAGTCAATAATATTTTATATTAATGTACACTCAAATCATGTATAAATTGTGTTCAAAAAAAAAATTATTGCATTTATATGATTTATGATTGTGACATAATGGTTCTTTTTATATACAGTAACCTTACAAAATGTAATTTTTGTGGTAGTCATTAAAAAGAATGATTCATAATTCCATATATGGATCTCCTTGAATACAGGGTACGACGAGTAGCCAATTCCAATTTTTTTTCTTTTTATATACAGTAATTTTACTTTTATGGTAGTCATTAAAAAGATGTTCTGAGTAGAAATCATAATAAATATGTCCAATATAGATAATAAAATTATCTAATTCTAGATCCTCATTTTCAGACGGAAAAAAATTGAATCAACCATTTCGATCTGATATTTTTTTGTGTTATGTATCATATGGACGAATATATTTAAATTTTTTCACGGGCCAAATATAAAAAAAAGGTATTTATACTTTATATGATTGCTTTATCAGTATCCTTATTTAGACGTTATTCCAATAAGTTAAAATTTTAGTTTTAATGAATTAAAAAAAAAAATTGTCATTTATTTCAACGATCCTAAACACGTACAGTACATACATAGATAAGTAGTGTATCTATAATTTTCTGATTTTTATTCTGATAATAGTATTTTTAGGACAGCTTGGTATGTCCGTAAGAATAAAGAAGCATTTAATTTTAAATTTATTAATTTTCATCTTCAATATTCTTTTAATAACATATACATGATTTTAACATGTAATGGATTGCAATTGATGTAATTGGCATTGTTAAAGTCCCAAATAGCGATGACTATTATGCGCTTTAAAGGACTTGAAGATTATTAGATTAAGTCATATAGGTATTGAGGAACTGACAATGGTTTGAAACGTAATACACCGGAAGAAATTTTAGGAACAAAGTGGATTCCAAATATAATGATAGGTTAGTGATATTCTTTTATTTTTTATTAATTTTAATCAAAACTTTTGGTCTAATTTCATATAAAAAATGAATTATAATTTAAACATTTAAATTTAAATTTGATGTTGGATTTTATTTCTTTTAGTCAATAACGATTCTTTTGAGATTACGTCCAGTATAAGAAAATTATATAAATATACACGGTATTCATATGAATTTAAACGAGAATATCGATGCTATTGAAATGAAATACATATTATTTTGTAGCTCAGAACCGGACATTTCGATCGTTCATAAGAATAACTAAACTGAAAGCGATTGTAGTAAAAAAAAAATATATTTTTTGACGTAAAAAATTACGGTAACTTTTATCGAGAAATTTTTCCGTAATTTCTTTGGGATTTTTACACCAAAAAATTCCTTATTAACATAGAATACGATCGCGATTTGTGAGACGGGAAGCGATTTTCCGTTAAGCTATTCTTATGACCGATCGAAAGCTCTGATTCTAGGCTATAAGATAATATGTATCTATTTCCAGTAGCACCGATATCTGTCGAGATATTCCTATTTAAATTTAAAACGAATCCGTATAAATGTTGTGCCTCTTGCGTCAGATTAAAACTGGCCAAAATCAAGGTAGGGTTAGGATGAAATTAAAACGATCAACATAGGCTGGTTTTATAATTCTAGTCAATGGGTGACACCTCAGTGATGATCTTACGCAAAAAGTCGATTTGAGGCACCATAAAATATAATGTAGGTGTCATAATATTACAGAGATTTACGCCTGAAAAAAATTCCATATGTTCTAGAACCATTTTCTAAAGTATTTAAATCAATAATTAAAATAAAAATAAAATAGAAAAATCTAACCATTATATAACAATAATACAGCTAGAAATTGAATGAAAGAAATAAATTGAAAAGAAACAAACTTTTCGGAGGAATTTTCCTAATTATCAATGCTTTCTGCATCATCTTCTTCTAGATCTTATTATTTAAAAAAAAGTAAACGATGGTATACTTAGTAATTCAATATAGTATCTTCAATTATCAAATTTACCATCCAGGTTTCCTATTCTTTTTCAATTGTCTTTTCTTGGACATGAATAATAATAAATTGCAATGGTTGTTGGTGAGGCAATTTATACGCACACCAAATAAATTCTTATAAAGAATATGCATAAAAAATAAGAATGGATTGTTTTTATCTATTAAAGTAGACCTTTTATTTGCATCATGTAACTTTGAAAATGCACGCACAAATATAGTTGCTTGACGAAACCTCTGGGTTTAGACAGGCCGTCAAAAGTCGAAACTGTCAAAACTTTTCGAAACTAGAGGTTTCGACGTTTCGTCAAATCCAAAATAGGTTTCGTCAAAGCAACTATACGTACAAATCAAATTTTGCTTGCAAAAATTTATTTTATTCTTTATTAATATTCGCAAATCATTGATTAGTGTTAATAAAAAACAACTCAGGCTAAGTTCTCTTTAAAAAGAATAATTTATATTAATTTATAAGATTACGTTGTCTATTTAACCTAAAATTCTAATTATATCTAAAAAATAAATACATATTTTTAAAAATAAAAATATGTTCGATTATCTTTAATGTTAATATTACTGATCATTTCTTTTAATAATTCATTTGCATCTATACTCCCATTTTCCTTTGCTTTATTTAACCAGTAGATGGCAGTTAAAATATCTTTCTTAGTCCCATATCCCTCATAAAAGCATTCTCCAACCCTGTATTGGCTATCAGTATGATCATTTTCTGCAGCTTTTTTATACCATTCAAATGTTTTCATTTCATTTCTATTAATTCCATCACCATGTTTATAACAATTTCCTACAGTATATTGAGCTATAGAATATCCATTTTCGGCTGCCTTTAGATACCATTTAAATGCTTCTTTTCCGTCAATACCCACGCCAATACCATTTTCATAACAATACCCGACATTGTGCATTGCATTAATATTTCCAGCACGAGCAGATTGCATATGAAATTGAAATCCTTTAGTTTCATCTTTTGTTGTACCTATTCCAATTGCATAACACCAACCAACATTAGATAGTGCTACAAGATTGCCCCGATCTGCAGATTTTAAATGTAATTCAAATGCTTTTTTTTCACTTTCTTCGACACCAAATCCAGTCCCATAACAATATGCCATAAAATTTAAAGCTATATGGGACCCTTCATCTGCAACTTTAGAATAGATCTGAAATCCTTTTTCCAAATCTTTCTCAACACCTATACCATATCTGTACATATGTGCAAGATAGATATTCCCCATTTCTTTGTTAACCGTGTAAAATTTTCCTATTGAGATATTCGGGGAGGTGTCCTCCATATCAATTATTTCATTAGCTGCTAAATTAAAGAATTTAAAAGCCATTTTTTCATCAACAACAGTCCCAATTCCGTACTGGTAAAAAAATCCTATAAGGCTAGCGAACCAAAAATGAGATGGATACCTAATCATTTCGTGTAGAATTTCGAATGGATTTTTTTCATGTTCTCTAATATAATCTTTGATCGTAGTTGGTTGTATTTCTAAAATCTGTTTTGCTGGAACATCAATGAAAAATTCAAATAAATCCTTAATAAACACAATAGCTTCTTCATTCTCAGAAAGAAAAGATGATTCAGAATAAAGAGAAAAATTTGATTGTTGACTTGAAATTTGTTGTGATTGTCTATCCACTTGACTTAAATTAGTGAGCATGCCAATTTTATGTTTATTCATCAAATGATATTTTAATGAGGAAGGTAAACCAGGATATGAAAATTCAATTTTACAAATAGAACATTTTGTTTTGCGACTTTCGGATGGACCATATGGCTTAGTAAAATAATCCAAAACTTTACTTTCTACATATGTGTCAGAAGAAGTACTGGATTTGATTCGGATTTCTTGTTCATCGATAGTGGAGGATTTAGTTTGAGCATCTATACCATGTTCATGAATAAGGGGTGATGTAGTTCCAGTTATTGTGTCTTGTTCATGATGAAGAGATACTCCAAAATCAAAATAAAGTTGGGATTGAAAAGTGTCTATTGGAGAAAAATTAATAATATTTCTTTCATAAGACATGTTAAATTTACTTTTTTATAAAATATGACTGCTATTATTTTTGAAATAAATTTTTTACGAATTCATTTATTTTTGATTAATTTGGTTAGCCGAAAAAAATCAAATAACCGGAATTTGTAAATGATGTTCAATGATATTCAATGATATTCAATGTAATACCGATTTATTAATAGGCTAATTCGGGGAATAAAATGCATAACAATTTCCTAAATCTGTTCGCACGTTGGTATTACTTGAATTTGAAATATATTTTTAGATTTATTTCTTTAACTTTATTGGTAAATTTACGTATACTAGGAAATGTGAGTCCGGAGCAAATGTTTCATTTTTAATAGGGTAAATTTATCCTAAACCCAGGGTCTACACTCTTAACCTAAGTCACAATTGTATTTATCACATGTTAGCTACTTTATTTTTATAGGGTGTCTAGGGTAAAAGTCTGACCCAGGGTCTATTTTAAGGATACCCTTTTTAATATTTTTAATGGCATTATAAAATTTGGGACAAGAAAATGTGACTGATATGATTTGCCTACGGACAAAAATATTATACATTTATTGAATTGAAACTAACCAAAAATATTTAATTGTATCTTATATTTTTCTATTAACTCCGCCATTTTCTTTCATTTTTCGCTTTCTCTAACTATTCCATAGATCAATCATTAGTTAAATTTTATATAAATGAGTGGACTCTGATATTGAACTCTTTCTGGCATTAAATTCTTTCCTCCTTTATCAATGACCAAGAATGCATGTATAAAATAGGTATTTCTGCTTTATCAATTTTCAAAAAAGAGATTCTTTGAGTAGTGAATACATCAATAAATATGGAACAAATAATATTAAGAAAGTAATAAATTGTGAATATAATTTAATAATATTATAATTAATTAACAATGTGAACACTACTAAACTTAAAAAAATTAATCCACAAAAAAATTCATCGTAAGCGTATATAAAGCTTTGCAACTTATTTATTCAATCATTTCAACATCAACGTGAAACAATCTAATAACGTTATTATTTGCTATACGTGTTAATGTAAATTAACATATCCACGGCTGATATCAGTTAAATCAATTCAATTGAGTTATTTTATTTTTTGAAATATTAATAATTGATATAATTATTGTTACTTATATTATTAAAAAAAATAATAAGGCATTGAGTATTTTCTTTTGCTTTCGATGATGAGTGCTTAAAAATTTCATGAAATGGTCTACAGTGAATTATGGAATTAGACATAGTGATGCAAACGTACCGGAAGAATATTGAAGCCAAAAACACCAGCAGTATGGACACAAAAAGCATTATTTTAAGTACTTACAAAAACGCAGGGATAGACAAACCCAAACTTAATGCAAGTGCTAGTATAAGCAATCCAAACAAAGAAAAGAAAAGAAAAGAAAACAAACGAGACAAATACAATCAACATGGAGGTATCATCTACTGAAGAAAATTTATTATTAAATCAAGATAATATAGAAAATACAGATAATAATAACAAGGCAATCGATAACACGATGGAAGATAAAAAAAAAAAGGTAGAGTGAGAGAAATTGACGTTGAAACAACCGAAAAAAACGTAAAAAGAGTAGAAACAGATGACAATGAATCAGTAAACTCAGAAGATAGTTTAATAACGAACACGAAGAAAATAAAATAAACTTGCAAAAATATAAAGTATGGATCAAAACAGTAGCAGTCACCGTAAAAAATTAAAAAGAAAATCGATTTTTAAATAAAATAATATCAATATTATTACAATCGAAGATAAAAAATTGTACATAGCAATATATTTGGGAAAAAAGATGTGGAAAAGGCATACAAAATTGAAGGAACAAATCAAATGATAGCAATGAACCAAAATAAAACAAAATAAAACAAAATAAAACAAAATAAACAAAATAAACAAAATAACAAAATAACAAAATAAAACCAAAATAAAACAAACAACCGAAAAAGGAATTAAGTGTTGGGATATACCAATTGCAGGTTCGGGAATTTAAGAGTATGCTAAAAATAAAATAATTCGGAAATTAACCTCATGCAGTATGAGATCTGCAATAGTCATCAAGAAACATGGAGAAAATCTATTATTAGAATGCTCATGAATAATCGGTGAAGAATCATGCAGAGTGCCACCCTTTTGGCAAATACGCAGTAAAGATCGTCAATTTATCACCTGATATAACTGCACGGGAATTATTTTATTTTCCGAGAAATTTATAGCAATAATTTCCTTTGAAATAAGTTATAAATTTTGTATAAAGTTAAAATCAACAAAAAACGTGCCACAGATGTCACGCGGAAGATCATTTGTTAATTGGTTGTCCCGTGGCACAAAAACAAAAGGAAATAAGTGAGAGACTTTGAAAATATGGCCACCTATACAAAGACAAAGACCTTAGTTATACTGACCCTTAGCTGAAGGAATTAACATGGAACAGGTTATATAGATGCCATTAGAAACAATACAATAAATGAATTAGATGATCTGAAAAAAAAAATGCATTGAATATTTTACAAGAAATCCAGTGAGATATATAAGAAATTAAAAGAAAGATGAAAGATTGAAACTAGTGGAAAACTATTGTGTATATAAACCATTAAATGAGGAAGAAATAAAAGGAATGTAAAAAAGCTAAAACACAAACAATTAATGTAGAAGAAAAAAATGGAGGAAAAAATCAATTATATTTATGAAACAGTTAAAACTCTGTTAGAAAATGAAAAACAAATAATGAACAAGGAAGGCAAAACCCTAATGTAAAAAATCTAATCTTGAAAACTATATATATTATGATAAAAAATCATTAAAAATATAAACAATAATGATAATAATTATATAATAGAAATTGAACAAACTATTAATACAATAATAATAAATTTTTAAATAATAATTTAGAAGATATTATGAAACAAAAAAAAATTTTAAAAATGAAGAAAAAAGAAAAATGTAAACAAAACAAATGATATAAATAATAGACAAATAAATAATAATAACAGTTTATTAAATATTAATCAAAATAATAATAGTGTTATAACAATAAAAATTTAGATTAACAAAATGAAATTTATTTCATCTGACAATATGAATATTTTTTTATCTTTTTTTTTTTTTTTTTTTATATATCCAACGGAGTCTTGCTCCAATAAACTTTATTAATAGATTAAGTGTAAATTTTAAAGATACAATAATTTATTT